CGCCGCCGAGAGGGCCGGGAGCCGGGCAGGAGAGTTGGGGGAGCCCCCTGTCCCCCCTGGGGCGGGGGCCGGCGGGAACGAGCCCCTCCGGGGCGGACGAGCTCATTGTTATTCCTTCGCTGCGGAGGCCGACCCCCCCCTCCCGGCGAGCAGCCCCCCACCTCCCGGAGGGGGCGATCGGGCGTGGGCTCGGGACCCCCGGGCCGGCCGCGGGGCCCCGGCGGGGAGGCGATCGGGGTGCGGCGTGGGGGGCCTCGGGCCTCGCCGCCCGGTCCCCGCCGGCCTCTCCCTTCCCCCACCCGGGCACCCGCTCCCTGCCGCCGGCCCCCCGGTTCGGCTTCCTCTCTCACTCCTCCCGCCCCCGCTGTCTCCCCGACCTCGCCGGACTCCGCTCCCGGTTCCCCCTCCCCAAAGCCGGCCCGGGGACCCCCGAGCCCCCGGCGACCCCCCGAAAGCGCACAAAAAACAGCCCGTAGGCCGGCGGCTCCTGCCTCCGCCCCGCCGGGCCCGCACCCAGCTCTGCCTGCCACCCACCTGAGAGGGGGGATCCCCTTGATCGAGGGGACCCCCGGGGGCCGGGGAGGGGCGCCCACGGGGCTCCGCACTGCCCTCCCCCGTGCCCCGTGCTAGGGGCCCGAAATAAACACACACCCTGCGTCCGATTTGCAGACGCCTTCGTGGGCCTGGGGACTTTGAAAAGCGGGGGGCAGCCTGCTGTACCCCTGCCCCACGTGGCCCTGACAGCCCCCCAGAATCCCCCCTCTGAACCCCGCCCGCATGGCTCACGGGTGTCTGTCTTGTTTTCCCTCCTGCAGGGGCCGGTTGCGGGGTGGGGTGGGGGGTTCGCTATGTCGGATGACGATTCGAGGGCCAGCACCAGCTCCTCCTCATCATCGTCCTCCAACCAGCAGACCGAGAAGGAAGCAAACACCCCCAAGAAGAAGGAGAGTAAAGTCAGCATGAGTAAAAACTCCAAACTCCTCTCCACCAGCGCCAAGAGGTAAGGGCCGTGCCCCAGGCCACCTGTGTGCCCCTTTCTCCAGCCATCCTCCTCAGGGTGCCCGCCTGCACCCCTCATGGTTTCTGCTCTTAAAATGGGGAACAGGGGGCCTTGAAAGCCAGCATGCTTTTCTCCATGGCGTCTTGTTTGCTTTGTAATTACTGTCCACATGCAGCTGCTGGAGGTTGCGTCTCTCCCATTTCTTACTGAACTTTGTCCTAATTGTCAGGCCTTCTAATCATAGACGACCCCCACCCCCCAATCTAGATTTCATCCTGGTTTATTCCTCCCTAACCCATGACCCTCTCGGAGCGCTGTCATCGTGCTGGTTAATTCCTAATACTTGCCCAGACAGCACCCTTGTCTCTGTGGGGTTCCCCCTCACCTGTTGCACTTAAGGTTCTCCGAAGAGTGGAACTTTCTCCAAAAATTGCATAAGGAATAAATAACAGTCGTGGGATAGACAGTTTTGGAAGAGGAACTGGGATTCTGATGGAATTGAAAAGCGACTTTTCTGGTTTGGAGAGCTGAGATAAATGAATGAAGGAGAGATGATTGTAAAACAGTTGTTGTAGGGTTATTTGGGGTTCCCTCCCCCATAAATTCTTTCCTTTATAAAAATTTAGGGTCACTTGCTTTTTCATGCTGTTTATTCTCTTCAGTTGTTAAAATGTTAACTTTTTCCCCCTTACTCCAAGTAGAAGTATAAAGTTGGCTCTTTATCCTTCCTTACTCCTTTCTAGAGAGAAAGTTATTTTTTGATCTCTGTCATCCCCCAGGAATATCCTCTGATTTCATGACCCTTAACATAGTGTTTGGGGCCCCTGCATATCTTGGTCTAAACCCTTCAGCTCCCAGGTGGACAGATAACAAGAAAGTGGTCTGCTAGGAAGACAGTAAAAAAAATCCCCTTGGTGGCTTAGCAAGGGATGCTTTTCTGAAAGAACTGAAAATAAAACAGAGGGACTTGCATACTTTCTGCTGAGTAGTAGTAGATCTTGGTTAAAGAGTTTGGGTTTTTTTTTCATGCTCCTTGACTTTGAAATTTGAAAAGTTGATGACGTGCTGATGGGGAATGAGTTTTCATTTTAAAGAATGTGGAAATTTGGTGGAATGGGCCGGATGTGTCTGTAAGAGTGTCCTCATTTTTGAGGCTTGGTTTGACTGCATCTCTGCTTGCCCTGGAGTCTTGGCCAGCCCTGGTTTATAAACTCTCTGAGGTAAGGGGTCTCCCAGAACCCATCTGCTTTCCCCAGGACCTTCCAGGGCCGACTCTGGACTCTCTCCTCCTCCCTTGAGCAGCTCTGGCCTGCTCTGCCTAAGGCAGGATATTTGGCTCAAGTCATTAGATAATTTTCTAATTTGCTGGGTATCTCTGCTCCTGTTCGTGAATATATTTAGGGGTAAAGACATAGGTGCCAGATGTGAAATGGTCCATGCCTTATGTCAGCAAATTACAGAGAGGGTTCTTTCTCATTAGACTAAATAAATTTGTCTATTTATGCCAAGAAAGTTCTAGAAACTTATTTGAAAATGGCCAGGAAAGAGATGGTGGGTATAGAAAATGAAAGGTAGGGAGCGTTGAGTAGGAGCGATTTTTATCTGTAAGGCTGACTTTGGAGAGGGAGTGTAGGGAATAGTAACTTAAAGTCTTGACTGTGTTGCTGAAAAAAAGTGGCTGTTTATGTTGAAGCAGAGCTGAAGTTAATAGGAGAAGCCCCTGGGTGGCACAAATAAATAGTTAAGTACTCCACTATTACTTGGCAAATTGGCATTTCTGACCCACCCAGGGGACAGGCCGGCCTGGCAGTCCGATTCCAGAAGGTCACAGCTTTGAAAACCCCTTTGAAGCACAGTTCTTAACCTCACATGCTTGAGTTGACAACACGTTCAGAATTCAATGGCAACTAACAGCACCATGTTAATTGTAAAAGTAAAAAGTAGAGAGGAACAGTGAACCTTGGAAAACACTAAAGAATTGAATCTAGATTGGCATTATTTATACCTACCGTCTGGAGATCGGGAAACGCAAATGTCAGGAGACACAAATGTCAGAAGCTAGCGTGAACCTGAAGGCTGAATGGCCAGACAGGTTCTTACCTGTACATTGGAAAGTGGTTTCTATTCCATGGATCCAGGCAAGTCCCTACTGAAAGTGGTCTGAGCAAGAATTATTCTGCAAGGTCTTATGAATGAGTTACTCTTGCAAATCTTTTGTCATTTTTATGGAAATGATGTGAATATTTGTCTTAGAGATGGGAGTGGATAAAGCTGTCACTTTTTAGGCATTAAAGAAAGTGACTTTTATGGAAGTTGAGTTGGCAAGAAGTCAAGTCAGTATTCTGTCTTGTGCTCAGGCATGATATTTTTGCCTGTGTATATAGGTCTGTACGCATGTTTTTTTACAGGACAGGTTAAGAATTGGAAAACTGTTCTGTACAGTGGTGGGTCAAACAGCAAAGAGAAATGTTTCACAACTGAGATGCTTATTTAGAGTTTATCAAAAAGGGACCCCCAGTCCAGATGCACAGATCTCAGCCGACTGTCAACAGACCCCGGTCTCCAGAGTGAACCAGATCTGAAGGAGAGGAAGTGCCCGGGAACGGAAAAGGGCATTCCCCAGTGGTCTCCACCTTTAGTTTTTATTTTAAACGTGCAAAAACAAAGCCTTTGAGAAAGGCCCTTTCCGCTTGCATCCAGTGCCCTTTGCACCCTCAGGAAGCCTTGGGGACTTAGAGAAAGCATCCTTGGCGGTTCAGATGGAGTGTGTGTCGGGGTGTTGAGCACAGAGCTGGCTCTGGATGTGTCAGTTGCAGGGTGGCCAGCCCTGCGGGGGTTTGTAGTGAGGAGGAGGACAGGAGGCAGGGTCTGGGGGACGGGAGCAGCCCCAACTTTGCAGGAGTGAGTGATGCCCCGAGCGCCTAGGTAGGCGGCAGACAAAGGGCAGGGGCCAGGCTGTGTGCGCGGGGCTTCGGCCTAGGCCTGGGGCTGCGGCCCTTGGTGACCTGGACGGTCGCAGTGGAGGATCCCCCCGCCGGGGAAGTTGGGGGGCCCCCCTGGAAGGCGGGTCTGGAAGGGGTGAGTGCGGCCCCCATCGCGGGTGCACCTGTGCGGGTGGACGGGGTTCCCCGCGGGCCGGGGAGGAGGAGCAGGCTGGGGCACCTGCACGGGGTGACTGCGGGGTGCGGACGGCGCTCCGTGCGCGGCCCCGAGCGCG